CGGAGAGTGTGGAGAAACAATCGTCAGAGTAAAAGAGGCAACAAACAAACAAAGCATTTGTGTATTTGGTTACTTCGTTGAATTGAGAATATTCCGGAGAACAACAACGAGACCACCAAACAGCCAACGAGTGCCTGGCTGTCGAGTTAGCTGCGGCGGCTGCCGAACCACCGGGCTCACTTTGTATTGCGTCGAAGCTGCAAAAGGAGATATTCGATGTGTTTAAAAGCATTTGTAGTATTGATATTAATTAATAACTTTTTTTGCTAACTCGAGTACCCTGTTAAATGCAGTTTTCAAGGATTTCCAGTGCCAGCTTGTCGGTGGCGGCGTCACCGCCGACTCAGCTCAGCTGTGTCGTGCTGGGACAATGAAACTAATACGGCGGAATTTGGTGAATCTCTTTTCTGGAATAATTTTCGAGACATCGAAGCCCGTAAAGCCAATAAATTGGACCCCCACCCGGGCACTGCTAGCAGGCACGATGCACGCAGCCTGGTCCGCCTGAAGTTGGTATTGCGTGTACTTCGATTGGACTCCAGGTTGGCTGCTGATGCCAGGGAAGTGCCATTTAACGGTTAACTGCGGTGTTCGTGCGTGGAACGAAGCGGGGCTGGTCTTGTCCTAGCTTCGCATGGGGGATTGCCTCCCAGCGGTAATGGAGCAGAGAATGCTGCACGTGTTTGCAGAATTGTCTTTGCCGGCTATCTGCATTGTAATCAGCCCCAGGCATGACTACACGCAGTACGGAGGAAGGGGGGTTAAATCTGTTCCGTTTGAAGCCTGATGTCAAGTATTTTGGCTCTACTGCAGCTCACGCCGCCCATAGGCCACGAGAGGAGATCCCACCTCCTAACTGCACCTCAGTGTGCGAACACTAGGCCCTCATACTTTGATATTGAGGAGTTTGGCTGAATTGTTGCGTTCGTGAAGGTGCTACCATCAACAGGATGTTCAGAAACATTCTGTTAATGATGACAGCTTCAAAAAAGCTCTAAACCTGGAGATGTCTAGCGGTTACACACAAGGATGGAGTTGTTCCAATGAAAACGAAAAGGAACCCCAACGCGGACGTGAACAACCAACAAATAAATTACATTTTACTAAGAAATATGTAATGTTTCGTTAGGAACAAGTAATACTCTATTACGAAATGAGTAACATCTTATTAGCATAGGTGCCTCCGAGAAAACAACAGGAACTTCCTCACTTGAAGAAACAAGGAAATGGATACGCCATTTTGTTTTGTCACTTAATCGTGGTTGCAACGAGAAAGTGTACACATAGGAGGCATGACTATACTCCTCCTCTGTCAATATGCGAAGGAGATGTTGCATGCAAGCATGTCCGCTCAATACACGCCTTGCGCCGCTCG